GACTTTGATTCTGTATTAGAAGAACTCTGAAATGTAAATGAAGGTGTATTTTCTTGATCCACATGCCCAAACTTAAATCCTTGCTCTGTAATGCCAAAGGTAAAAGCTTTTTCTGAAAAGTTACTTTTAAATCCTGTTCCCACCTGACTTCCAGAAGAGTCATTTAACTTCATCTTTGAGCCCAATGTGAACGCTGAAGGTGCATCTGCAATAGGCTTATGAGTGGGTTTAGAGGCAGAACAAGCCACACATTTTAAGGAAGAACTCTCATTTTGTACAAAGCAAACACTACAGTCCCATTGTCCTTCCTTCTTGGCAAACATTCCCTCAAACCCACTCTTGGGAGTCTTGCTTGTCTCTGAAGAGGCAGGTGTTGGAACAGCAGAAGTAGGTTCGTTCTGTTTACTTGGATTCTGACAGGCAATACATCTGGTAGCGCTGGCTTCATTTCTTTCCAAGCACACACTGCAATCCCACTGTCCTTCCCCCTTGGTGAACATTCCCTCAAACCCACTCTTGGGAGCCCTGCTTGTCTCTGAAGTACCAAACTTGAAAGAGGTAGGGGCTGGAACAGCACAAGTAGATGGACTTGGTTTAGCTGGATTCTGACAAGCCACACATTTTGTAGCGCTGGCTTCGTTTCGCACTAAGCATGAGCTGCAGTCCCACTGCCCTTCCTTTCTAGCAAACATGTCCCCAAATCCACTCTTCGGAGTTTTACTCATCTCTGAAGTACCAAACTTAAAAGAGGCAGGTGCCGGAACAGAAGTAGTAGGCAGACTCTGTTTTCTCGGATTCTGACAAGCAGCACACTTTGTAGCACTGGCCTCATTTTGTAATGAGCATACACCACAATCCCACTGTCCTTCCTTTGTAGGAAAAACAGATCTAAAATCACTGTTAACAGATTTAGGAAGATCTCCCTGGCCAAGTTTAAAGGAAGCTTGATGTACAAATGACGATCCACTTTTGTTAGCAGATTTTGTATTCTGGCACGCAATGCATCTAGATACAGCAGGTTCATTTCTTACTAAACAGACACTACAATCCCAGTGACCTTCTTTCTTTGGAGTCATCAATGCAAATCGGTCTTGAACATTTTCTGGGCCAGTTTTAGGAACAAAAACAGTCTCAACTAGTGGTGGGCCAACGAGTTCTTTACTGCTTGGGTTTAGATTTTGGCATGACACGCATTTCTTAACAGTTGCAGCATTCTTTAAGGAGCAGCTATTACAATGCCACCAAGACCCTTCTTTCTTTGCAACTTGAAATTCAAAATTCACATTTCCGGCATCAGATTTGCAAATATCCTTGTTGTCATGACTCGTGGGTTCTTTTACAATTCTGATACTCTGATTTGGTGCTGTGGCTATATTTGTGGCTGAGGTTTTTAAAATGCTCTGAGCCTCCTCAAACTTGCACTTAAAAAGTGTTGCTTCCTCAGGAGTTTTGAACCTAATAGCAAGTTGTTCTGGTTTTGGCAATTCGTCTGCATAGTCAAGGGCATGCCATACAAAAGACCTGTCTGATCCAGCATTTGGTGTCAGCTTCATGTCAGGGCTGATGTAATGATTCGCACAAATTTTTAACACTTGCTCCCGTCTCATGAGAAGGCGAATTTTGCCAGACGTCTTGTGCCTTAGTATTTTCACGTTGCCAATGCCGCGTTCCTTCCACTCTTTGGATTCTCCATCAAAACGGAACAACTTGGCCCGGTTGCAGAAGAGCCCTTCTTCGTCCTCCTCGCCCGTTTTCACCTCGATCTTATCCGGAAGAGGCACCACAGGCTCGAAGTGCGGGCCGTCATCGTCATCCTCCCCACGGGCCCCTCCGCCGTCGGCTTCGTGACGCTCGGTTGCCAGCTCAGGAGCCGGTGCTCCAAGCAGTGACCTCCCTGGACCATGGAAAGTAAATGCTTCATCATTGCGACGAAAGCCAGAATTCCTTTGGTGGTTTGGCCCCACATTTTCCGTAAGTGAAACCCCAGACACATTTTTGCTTCCAAAATTGAATGCGTTTCGAGGCCCAATGGTTGGACCAGAAACTG